CCATCAGTGCTTCCCATGCAAATTTATGTAACTATTTTTAACTTGACCATTTAATCAATTTTTAGCATAAAAGCATCACCGAGCATTTAAAGAAAACTGTCAAGAGGCCAAAATAAGTGTGTTTCAGGCGTTAGGATTTTCTACCACGGAGTAAAGCACACAGTTTTTTACCTACTCTGAAAGATATACACACACAAACGTAAAGTAGTTATGACAGAATATACACATAGGGGACAGATGGCAATACAACAAGATTTCTTATCCAGGTGAAAGTCGTAAGCTTACATCATTGCTACCTGGCACAGCAGACAGGCACACCGAGTCATGCTTCCCAGTATCCCAAAGGAACAGGAGAAGGAGGCCAGGCTGTACAGCTCACACCAGCGACTGTTCCCCCCCAAACCATCCCAACAGGCACTGTTTGCCATATTTAGCCAACACCAGTGCGGCAGGTAATCACCTGTCGGTGACTAATCCATGCCATACTTCCCCAAATAGTTCAAGCTCACCTAAACTGCCACCAGCAAGGACAGGAGCGTGACCCCTCCCCGCCTCCAGCGGCTTCTTTCCACCCAGACACTTCCCACTCCCTCAGGACAGCATCAACAGCCCCATCAAGGTTTAGCTGTACCATGGATGTGACAAGGAAACCAGTTACTAAAACAGCAAAACAAACAAACAAAAAAACCCCAAACAATCACCACTCCCCCCATAAAAACATCCCCTAATCAAACTTGGTAACGCTTTTTTTTTTTTTTAAGCAAGATTAGTTTTCGTTGTATGCTGATATGCAAACATGCCAGGAGGACAGAAACAAGCAGCTCGGAGGACTACTTTGGGTGGCAGTGGCAGCTGAGAGCACCTTGGTACGGCAGTCCCTTCAGACTGCCTTTATTGCCAGCGATAAGCCACCAGCTCTGCAAGACACAGAGCAGGAGGTGGCCTCCATCTCTCCCGTAGCTGCTGGGACACTGCCCGGCCAACTTCATGCCTAAACCCGGACAGGACGACTCTCCTTTCCCACAGGGTTTGTGAACGTTTGGGTAACACATTTGGCACAATTTCAGAAAACTGAAGGGAGAAAAGGACAGAGGAAAAAACACCCTGTAAGAGAGATAAAGTAGTCGACAAAGGGAAAAACTAAGCAGCCACATATGCAGGAATACTAGGAATGAGCTAGAAGTCAGTCCTTTTAAGGATGTACTGCAAAACAAGATTCATTACAGACTGCTCTAAATATTTTGGATTTGTTTAAGAAACACACTCTTAGTTGTTTCTTTCACACAGCTAAGAAGAACGCGTGTCTATGTGGTTTTGGAGCCACCATCCCCAGCCCGGGAAGCCTGGCCCCCGACAGCAGTAACTGCCTTACTGACCTGAACTGAAGGAGCAGAGCATACTCTCTTGCAGCAGTTAAAAAGCAGGATTGGAAGGGAACGGAAAAAGAGAAGAAATGCAGTTTACTTTTAATCTGTGGGCTACAGTTGAAGCTCAGGAGTTAAACACGCAACCCAAGGATCCCCAGCAGTGCCCTGCAGCATCCACACTCCGCTAGTACCACTGTAAAACCCTGAAGTGCCAGGAGAGGGGAAGCTTCAGCAAGTACTGAAGTGTGAGCCCCAAGCAAACTCTGACCGCTGGAAAGGTTTTATAGTCATGGCCATCTTCATCCTTTTGTACTACTGAAATCCACAGCCAGCTGTAACCAGCTTCACCAGGCCCCACGGCAGTACCGCTCTGCTCACGCATCAGATTCCTTAAGCCCCACAGGCCACCAAACCTCCCTCACAGTCTCTTCAGCGTAGGTACCAGGAGTTACATAAAAGACCACGGAGCTTAATTTTAAATAGACATCAGCTCCCCACATTAACGTTTTACTAGGCCAGTACAGTAGTAAGCGTTGCTGTCCTCGCAGAGGCCATTTGTAATTTCTCATTGTAACTCAAACTGGCGTTTGTAGCGAGTCATATTATTCAACAGCCATACTTAACTAGGTGTTCTGCTTTGATTTTAATAAATTTTAACCAGATGAATCAGTTCTAAAACCTCATCCTTTTCAGAAGAAAAAAAAATAAATCACTTGACAGATACATCCACTGCTGCAAAAACCATGTCAATAACAAAAATAAGATTCAAGTACATTTAACTTGCAGAGATTGAAAGGGGGAATGCCACTAATCCTTCTGATTCGGAAAGGATACCCTCCAACGAAATGATTCATGTTGAAATGCCAAAGTTGCACCCATCACATTTTGTACAGCCTAGATTTGCAAAGAATAGAACTCTTGATGGCATATTTATTTACTGAGGTGGGTAGAGCACTAATGGATGTCTGCGACAAAATGAAAAAAAAAAAAAAACACAAACAAGCACACACACAGGTACTTTTCTAAATTCCCCACAAGATACATGTCTATCTTCACATTTCAGCTGAAAAGAACAAATGTGGAAGAAAAGCAGTCCGATACATGTTTTTAATGAAAGTTAACATTAAATTTAAAATGTAGTAAAAAGCATTTTGTACTAGAGTTGAGATGTGAAGAGGGAGTTCAACTGAACAGCTGTCCTAGAGTATCAAACATTTTCCTTGGTACCTTCTGAAAGATAATATCTTCTAAGAGAAAAGAAAATAACCAGTCTGCCAAGAATAACTCCTACTCCTGCTTCTCTAATCTTTATTTTTAACTTCAGGGAAAGCTACACTTTGTACATCCAAAAATTTTGAACTGATACATCTCTCCCACATAAGGCAGGCTCGAAGCAAATGGACCCTCCACAACCGATTGAGTTGAAACCTGTGAGGTGCATGGTCTGAAGTCGCCAAATCCTCACAGACCACCACTTTTCAGCTGGACTACAGTAAGAGGCTACACACCAACTCTTATTCCATCAATTTTCACAAACTTACTTGACATTTAACATGGACTTGTCCTAAAAGTTCACAAGAGCTCCAGAGGGCTAGCAAACAGTAACTCACAAAGTCACAACAAAGAACGTACGCTTCAGGCAAAATTGTTCAACTGACAGTTAAATTAAGTATGTCACACTAAGACAACAAAACAAGCAGCAAAAATTGCTTTTAAAATTGCTGGTTAAACTGGCACACCCCTCCAATATAGATACGCTCTGCAAAACGTCCAGAGACAGCACAAAAAAAACAACAAAAAAAAATATCTACGAAGCTTTCATCAACCTTCCCAAGGTTACTCCAACTACAAGGAGTATTTGGAAAAATAAGACATCTGTGATATGTAAAATGCAATTCTGAAATGAAGGACCGATAATTAACAGCTTTGGTCGTCCCCCCCCAATTAAAAAGTTAAAGTATAGTCAGTTTTTAAGTTATAGAAAGGAATCCATGAAACCTTTCAGCAGAACATTAGTAAAAAAATCAGCACACAACTCCATCTGCGTTCTGGCCTTCTCATCAAGATTCCTTCAAACCATTTTTATTTTAAAAGAAACAAACCATTATTGCCTTAAAAAAAATAATTATATGAACAGTTTTGAGTTTCGCTTGCGATTGTAAAATCACAAGCAACACCAAGTACTTGCAAAACTCACGCTCTTAAATATCAACACAACTATTCCCACACAGATTAAATCTGAAAGTATAAAATATTTTAAAGTAATATTGGAGTAGTCAAAAAAAATTTGACTTTTCAAATAGCAGAGGGGAAAAAAGCCCTAATATTTAATACAATTGCTATCAGAATGCAAGCTAGACATTTGTAAGGCACAGGAATGACCTCCAACAATTGATCTTGGGTATTCAATAACTTAAGAAATACCACACAGAATTTCAATTGCTTCAGTTCAGAAGGAAAAAGCACTGCACGACTGCTAGTATGCAAGGAGTTGAAGGTAGTAGGAAATATTGAGGCATTATACTCAAAAGGAAATGTGTTTGCCCAACTACTCACGCAACACAAAAATAAACCGGAATATTTATTAGCTCAGAGAAACCAAACCCATGATACCAGTAAGAACATCTACACCTGATCAAATATATTAAATAAAGCGTCTCAACGAATTAGCTTTTTCGATTGTAACAGCTATGAAGTGACTTCATGAAACATGAAGGAACAGTACGAGACATACTAGTAGTGCTAGAGTTTCAAATGAAGTGTTTTACTCTAAAAATAGTTGCGTATTTCAAGGGTTTAACCTGCTTGTATGCTAGGGCAAAAGATAGATGCTTCTGGGAAGTTACAGGACAAAAGTTAACTCACAAGGTCAATAACTGAAGAAAACCCTGCTCTCACATGTCTCTGTTCTTTAACAGCATTGGGAGAATTATCCAGAATTTCCTTAGGAAAGCACTAAAATACAAAACAAAATTGGTATTTGATTTTTTTGAAGCAGTTGACTACAAAAATACTTTCAGAAAGCCTGTAAACATTTACAACACAGTATCTGTATTAATACAATATTATTACTTTCAAGGTCAGTATTACACATGCAGTTTCTTGGAGCTACATATTTTGGCGTTATTTTTAACATCTGACAGAGCATCTTGTACTGTTGCAAGCTCTACACTGTTTACAAATACTCCCAAGCTGCAGCTGCTGATTCTACTAGTGTATCTTGCCATAGCAAAAAGAAGAGTAATTTTAATTATCCAGTAACAGTATTTTTCACAGTATTATATGCCTTACATTGTTCTGTAGGCTGGTTTTATAATTTTTCCACCTTTCAATGACTACATAGAACAACAGGATTTGGTTACAAGGATATCCATTTCTACAAAAGGTCAAAAAAGTGCCAGCATAGCTAGGAAACATGTCTAATCCTGTTCAGATTATGGATGAACTCTGCACCCTCTCTTAGCAGGTGCCATTTCAGGAACTTCTACATTTGATTTGCTTTTCAAAATTAAAATGCAGAGATTAAAAAAAAGTTGCTTCAAAATCAAATGTCATATTTATGTTTTAATTCTTCATTCTCGCAAAATACCTAACCACAAGCATAACAGTATAAGGCAGCAGCAAACAACTTACCAACACAAGCATTGAGGAACAACCAGTCAGTCTTTTTCATTCTATTTTTAATTTGCTTTAGTTTTTTGAAGTCCACTTCGAGTTCTTCCTTGCTGCCAACAGCTCCAGCCAACTCAATTCTTTGGAAGTCCATTTTCACATCAGATTCTCGTTTGGTTGTAGGTGGAGATCTTCTTTGGCTATTACCACTACTACAGCTTCCTCTCCACCGAGCTCTGTCTTGCTCGTTTATGATTGAAGAAGCCTCTTCTGTGTCTGCCAGTTCTATTGCTTCTATGTTGTTGGGTCTGGGATGATCACATACAACACACTTCCTGGCCTTCGCCCAGTTTTCGTATGTACAAACAGAACAAGTCCAGTGCTGAGCCCTTGTGTTCAGTTTATTTCTGTCATTATATTCCTCACATGGATCAACGGAAAAAGGGACTGGTCTTGAACCAGAACCTGATGACTGAGGAGACTCTGTGGGACTCCTGGTCCTGCGTTGAGACAAGCACTGAGTACACCTTATCGCTCTTGGCCAGTTCAAGTATGTGCACATGTGGCACGACCATTTATTTGCACTCTCCATACTGTAAGATGATTTAACCCTTGGTCTTGCACTAGAATCTGGACATATCAAAGGACTACTCCCTCCTTCAGTGCTCGTAGGATCCCAGTCTCTACCAATATCACTTGAACCACTTTTAAATGGATCTTCTGTGATAATTGTTCCACTAGGTCTCTGAGCGCGACACATGGTACATTTGATTGCAGATGGCCAATTTTCATATGTACAATACTCACAAGCCCATTTAATTCCACGCTCTGTCATCGTGCACTTCTTGAAATGAACTGCGTCAGGCAGAAAGCTAAGTAATCAGAATACATCATTAGTACACAATGGTTGCACAGGAGCTCTGTTTCAAACAAAAAAAAGTAAATGAGATTTAACCCAGTTGATGTGTACTGCATCAAATATAAAAATCAGGCTGGGCAAAGAGGTAACCTTTTTTTCCTGATACTCTTAGAACATTTAGGGTGATAAAAACCACTATGAAAAGACTAAGACTTGTGCTAACTGCACTTTAAATGCAGAACTCAGGATTTCCTAGTGCAGAAAGGAAAACGCAGTCCTGCATTTCCATAATTTCTTAAATTTGAACAGAGGCTTACAAAACAAATTCAGAAAACAGATACATGCTAAGCACTGAGAATACTGGAAGAAGAGAACAACACACTACAGAAAAAAGTCACAAATATTAAATTATTGAAATAAAACTCAATATGAATACAGCAGTACAAGAAAAGGAACACAAAGTCTAGATCCCTTGAGGTCTCCTGCAAGACCTCAGGATTTGGAAGGAAGGAGTGTTACAGGTGGGCAGCTATACAATGAGTAAGCAGTTCTTTTGGAAAAGTAGGTGTAGGAGTATACATAAGAAGCATACATGTTAAAATTTTATACATGTGCTTAACCAAGACTAGGCCTTGACTGGACATCACTCATAACAGCAGTGTTACGAAGTTCAAATACCACTTGAAAGCAAGCACGGGGGGGGGGGGGGGGGGGGCGGGTTTTCATTCTACAAATCTAGATTTCAATTCAATTCCCACTCACTTTTTCTCTAATGAAGAGGGTATTCAGTCTTCATGCTGGCTCAGACCTTTTTCTTCAGTTTGCCAAATACGAAGGATGAGACTAAGCAGATAACTATTCCTGTAAACAAAACGAAAACAGACTCATTATAGGTTTCCTACTGGACCTGAGTAACCAGAAAGTTAATTATTAAATGCCACACCTACTCTGATCCCAATTTACTTGTTTAAACTCAGTCATGAACTGCTGAGACTAACGTATAGAAAATAAACCTATCCTTATAGAGAACCAGTCGTCATAATAGCAATCAATCGGCTGAAGTAAAAGCACTAGATCCAAGCAATGTCAAATTCACACTAAAACATCTATAAACGCTCTTACTGGAATATGAAATAGTACGGGGGAAAAAAAGCTTTGATCCCCTCCAGTTTGTGTAGAGGGCATAATAGAGGGAAAGGGTGAAGCAGGTAGATAAAGGACAAATAGAAAATATATACAGTCTATTTCCTTCCTTACCACAAAATCATTACCCAACACATAAGACTCAATTATGTGCTATTTTTAAGCATAAAAACTGTTTAAAATACAAATTTGTCATACCAATTGACTGACAATTCTCATTCATCATAGTGCAACTCTCTTGGCTAAACAAAATACCCAGAGTTTAGTAGACAAAAACCTCAAAGAAATCAGACAACAGGATAACACTCAAAACTAGACACACCAAACTAAAAATTAGCTTATACCTGTTCTCCAATTTGGAAATGTTTTATGAGTTAATACATTCTTCACCAAAATACCTTCACACACACCTTGCTCTACACCAAGGTACAGCTAAACGTCCACTTGACTGTGTCACCCTTATTCCTACCATCTCCCTTCTCTGGGCTCCAGCAGGCACCATAGGATTTTTCCAACAGCTCGACTCTGATCTATTCACCGTATCAGGTGGCTGCATGAATGAGGGGCTATCGCATGGCAGGACCGAGGAGAGGGCAGGACTATCCTTTTCAGCAGTGATCCATATTTACACTGCATGAAAGCGGATGAGCAATCAGGAACACATAAAGCTTTCTCATAAACCTCGGGTTCTAATATTACTCGTTTGAACGGCCTGCAGAGCACTTCACTCCCACCTATACGTTATAAAACTGTGTCAGACTAAGGAATCTGCTGAGAAGGCAGTTAAGACTTCCTACTGCTCCCCCTCCATCGTTCACTCAAAAAAGTCCATGCCCGTGTGTAACGGAAGAAAAGGAGCGAGATCATACTAGGGTCCCCATATCTGTAATAAAATAACTGAAAAACGTATACACAAGAATGCAAAGTCAACTTGATTTTACTAAAGGTGACCGACTTCATAAAGAAGACTTCTCAGACACTTGGAGGAAAAACAGTTTCTCTGATCCATAAACAAACCAAAGCCTTGTCAAAACAGCTCCTATACGAGTACACCATACACTATTTACCTATTGCATTTGGTCAAGGCTTTTCCCCTCTCCAATTCCCCAAAAAAGTTTTTTTATGACTTTAACATTTCTTAATAAGCTTATTCTCTCTATAAAGAGTAGAGAGTCTTCTAAGATGCTAATGTTTCCTAGTTAGGAACTTAACACAATTGAACATGGTCTTCAGAAAAAGAGAAGGAAGCGGCGCACCGTCCACGCACCTGCCAACTGCCACCAACACAACCACCAAGAGCAGTTTCACTTGTGCTCAGAAGGACAACCTAAAAGTAGCTGTCCCGATACTTCAACACCCAATACAAGCTTGAGAGTAATTTCTACCTGAGCAGAAGGTGCCATGTTCTCAGTAGATAATGGTTTCAATCAAAAGCTAGATAAGCATACAATGTGTGATGAAGCCCAAGAGGGATCCGTAACTGGTCTCCTACCTGCCCTAGTTTGCAGAGCCTTAAACCCAGCAATTCCTATTGCCAACAAATCCCAACCCACATTTGGGATGGGGCAAGAAAACAAAGCATCGTCTGTTTTACTGACATTCAGACTGGGCAAGGAGATTGCTGCTCAAGTTGAAAAGCAGCTTGTTGCAAAAACGATCTAAACAAATACTGAGATACTATTTACAAAACCAAATAGCACAGCACATACCATGTTACAGAAGAGCTTTCATATATATCAGGAGATTAGGTTCTTAGCTGCAATTATTCTCTGTGCCCCTTAAAAAGCTAGATGCTTTCAGACATAATTCTTGGAGAGGCTGAGTATCTGCAGCTTTGAAAGCCTCCGAGGTATGAGCTCACTACCTCCAAACATGAGGCCTCAGGTTATTATGAAGTAAAGAATATAAAAAGCCTCAATGGAACAATGCAATTTCTCTTCTTTGATAGCTCTGCCAACACCCACTACAGCACAGCTAGATGAGGACATTTAACACTTTCACGTATTGGTGTTTTGTTGTGGGGTTTTTTTTTATTTTTAGGTCTTGGTCTGACCCCCAACTGCATCCCACCCCAGGGACACCAGAACCACCTGATTTACTGGTGATACAGGATCATCATCCAGCCACTGAGCAGTTTGAAGCTTGTTACATTTTTTCAGAATTACTTCTTTGCCACGCTGTCTTCAAGTTAACTTGTTATTTTAGATTCTCCACAGAGGAGAAGCTGAATCACGTAGTACCTCCTCTCATAGAGAAATAACACAACAGTGACTGTGAGGCACAGGTACATGACTTAATGTCCAAAAAAGCATGAGCAGACAAGAAATTAAAACCCACAAACCCAAGCAAGTTCCAATTGATCGGTTTATACAGCGTGCTAAATACTTCCTGGACAGACTAGTGCAGTAACTCAGTACATTAAAGAGAAGAATATATTAAAATCTGATAAATCAAGTAACAAAAGTCAAAACATTATCAGACTACCTTTGTACTAAATAAAGTCAGACAGTGAAGGACACCTAGAACATTCAGAAATTTTTCTTTTGCTTTCTTTCAACTTTTAAGAATATTCTTCTTTTTAAGTGCATGGAAAAATACCAACCAGCACACAGAAACTGGGAAGAAACAATGAAGTCCTCAAATAACACTTTTATGACAAGATACATTATGCTCCCCTCAATTTAATTATTCCACTGTGTCCAGAAGTTATTTTTTCCTTTGGCTCAAACAAGGAACAATATGGAGCTCCATTTCATTAAAACGATCAAGCTCTTCCCTGTAAGCAGGCCAGACGCTGATTGAGACCAGTTTACGCTATGGATTTTTTGCTGGGATGGTTATGTCAGAAGCACATCTGTGCTGGCAGAAACCTTATGTAATTACACTGATCAAATCAGAGTTCCCACCTCAACTCGTTTTGCCCGTGTCTACAGATTTTCGAACAAAGCTAACTACTTCTGTATTTACAGGGAAAAGGGAGCTCAACTTAAGCTTTCAGCAAGATTTACCAGGGAAAAAGAGGTCCACGCTCCTTCCGCCCGACATAGCTGCCCCTCTCAGGCTGCTCCAAAAAGAAAGGCAGGCTGGTTTATTAATCTTTCTTTTAAAACACTGAAGCAACTTTTTTGGAGGAGCAAAATAAGCAGAAGCATCTTATTGTGAAAGAAAGAGGTCTCTAACCCAACACAGAACCTACTAACTCAACAGCTGATGAGTGTAGAAGTAACACCTTTCACACATCCAACCACAAAAAGGAGCGGAGAGGAACAGGACTGCGAGTAAAAGCATGAGATCAAACAGCAGCACTTTCACTGACTATTCTTTACATACTATGAAACACGGTGTATTTAAATGTACGTCTACCATGAAAAAGTCTCAATCTGACAGCTGTAATTGCTCACTAACAGCTGGATAATGTTGCTGTGAAGTTTATATATACATGATGGACAAACGGCTTTTAAGAAAAATTGCCTATGATTAACACCGCATAATGTGACACATTTTCAGAAGTGTTCCCCCTTGTACATCACCACCTCAAGTTCTCTTCCAATTACCCATAAAAAACTAGCCTACTTCTTAGGAAACTGAAGTTCATTTATACACAAATAAGCTTTCCAGTTAAAGCAGTAAAAGGAAAACCTGTTAAAAATCACACATCTGGATTATCACCTGAAATGGTTATGATAAAATATGCACTAGACTGAATTCAGATAGTTGTAGGTGGTTTTGTTCTGTAAAACTGCAGAACATTTTTAAAAGATGCATAAGACGAATTTGAGTCAACTGTTCACAACAAGAAACAAAGAAATGGTTTGATTTCACTGCTGCCAAACAAATACATTTATAAACACTGCCACTCTGCTGCTGACTCTAACCTCAGTACCTTTTTAAAGCTCACATAAGTTGTACCAAGTGACTCCTCAAACAAAAATTTTGCCAGTTTTTAAATACAGATAGTAGGAAGGTCTAGAGGATAATATAGCTGTACATAAGCTTAAATCAAAAAGCCCAGTTCGTTTCTTTCAAACTTGTAAACTCTCCGAAAACCTCCTCAAATGACTTCTTACATAGAAGGCATCGCTATTTAACTGGCTCAAATTCACTTTTGTTATCTGGATCCAAGAATCATTGTGAAGTATCACACTGTCAATACACGTCAACAAAAACAACTTACATTTTTAAATAACCTATTTGAAATTTATTGTCAAGTATTAAGAATTGGGTTTTCACATGAAATTTACCTTCACAAATTTTCTAAGGTGGAATTTTACTGACACATTCTTCTCTTAGTTTACTAAACTTACGTACTCCACCTTCAACTATTCACTATTCTTGAATGATTGCTTTCTCAAGAATTCAGTATAAGCCTCAACAGATCAGTATATTAAAAGTACAGAACTTGAAACTAGGCTTCCATAGTTTGATGGGAACTAACAATAAGTTCCATTGTCATCTCTGCAAATTAGTTTAAAAAAAAAAAAAAATTAAGAACATTGACCTTGTCAACAAGACAACCAAATCAGATCAGCGCTGAATCTGGAAGCTCCACAGTAAGGGCAATAACTATCTATTATAATAAAGAATGGAAAGATTACTGCGAAGTCACAAATGTAGAAGCATTTTCTATATTAGCCCGAATACAGTGAAGCAAGGAATTAACAAGTAAGCATAGTTTGTTTTGATTGTTAGATGATGCTTCGTTAAAAATGAGAGGATATTGTC